GAAAAAAATGAAAAAATCCTTAAATGACTCCATGTGTAAAAAGCAAATTGTTGACAATCAAACTGCATGTACAACAGGAACAAAGTTGCATGCCAACAAAAGGCCAAAATATTGTCCTGTATTAAGTCATGATCAGTATTTATCACTATTTGATGCTATGAAGTATGGACAGCTACATGATCAAAAATGGGCAGCAGTAAATATGAAGAAGTTTCATGAGTCCATGATTTTCAAAATCTGGCATTGCCAAGTTTGCCATGAGGCATGGCCATTGTCAGTAAACAACAAAAAGGTAGCACAATATATTTGTTCAAGATGTGTACGAGATAAAAACAGCATGAAAAAGTTTTCAGCTGAGAATAATATGATTCCTTCCCCTGTTCCTTAAGAATTACAAGGTTTAACCCAAATAGAAGAGATGTTAATTGCACGTGCTTTCCCAGTTATTAGTGTTTACACAAAACCAGGTGGACAAAGAGCATATAAAGGTCACTGCATCAATTTCCCACAAGACATCCAAGAGCTTGCAGACACATTGCCAAGATATCCAAAAGAACTTCTTATAATAGCCATAACGGTGAAGGGCAAAGATAACACTAGCAAAGATTTAATTGTTCGAACACAAAAAGTTTGTATGGCTTTGCACTGGTTAGTTGAGCACAATCCTGTCTACAAAAACGTTAAAATTGACTTAAATTGTTTATCTTCCCTTCCAATTGAAGGAATTCCCAGTGACTTAAAGAAAGTCCACTGTGCTGTAGACAGTGAGCATGATCTAGATAGAGGTCCACTTGATACTGATGAAATGCCATTTAATAGTGAAACAGAGATAAGCAGCACTTTATTAAATCCTGTAGTTTTGAACCCACAAAAGCAGCTAATACAAGACGAACTTTTACAACAGCACAAAGCTACATGGCCTAGTAGAGAAACCAATCCGTTCAGTGAATTCAAAATTCAGCTACTGGCAACAATGCCTTTTCCCCACTCTCTTCCCTGATGCTATTGGAGATCCAACCAATACTGCCACAATGCGAGATGTAACCCTAGGTGATAAAGTAAAGCACTTGATAAAGTTTGCTGAAAACATCGATGGCGAATGGGTGTACAGATTTGCGTGTCATCCACGATTTGCTTACTGGGCATTTAATATGATCCAAAGGCACAGACTTCTTAGTCAGGGTAGTATATTTCTTAAGCAACATCCACGTGAGGCCCAGCTAACTGTAGAACAACTCAAACAAACGCTTACTTCTAATAGCTATTCTTCGCTTATGTCTAAGCTGATGCATTATGCCAAAAATATAACTGGTAGCAGTGCTTATTGGCATAAATCAAAAGAAGACCTAAAGGCTACAATAACTCAAAAGGGACCACCCACAATATTTTTTACTTTATCATGTGCAGAATATCACTGGCCAGAGTTTCACAACTTGTTAAAGAAAAGTAGCAATGAAAAACTGACTCCAGCCGATAGGCAAAAACATGTTTTGGACAACCCACATCTCTTAGATTGGCTGTTTTCTGAAAGAACTGATCGTTTTGTTAAGTATTGGTTGAAGGATTCATTGCAGGCTTCGTGGCATTGGTATAGGTAAGAATATGCTGTCCAAAGGGGTTCTATCCATTGTCATCGAGTTGCTAGGTTGAAAAATGACCCAGGATTATGTTCCCTCACAGAGAAGGCCCTTAAGGGATACTTGGCTTCAAAATATAGATATGAAAAAAAAATATGCTGTCTAAAGAACAGATTCTAAATATGGATAATGAAATACATGAAGGCAAAGAAGCTGAGTTAATTGTTTGCAGATATGTTGACTTTTTGTTGACAACCTGGAATCCTTGCTCTGCTAATGACGGATGGTCAAAACCAGAAATTCACCCATGTCAAAAATCATATCTTTCATTAAAAGCAAATGAAATGGCAGATGATTATGTACATTTGTTAAATTCAGTGGAGAGACATACTACATGTAGTACTAAATATTGTCTTCAACAAGATGACAAATCTGAATTACATCGTAGGTTCAACTTTCCTTATGACAACTGTGCTGAAACAAGACTTGAATTTGAACCAATTAACATAAAACATAAAGCTGTCATTGTCACAAAACGAAATGATTCTAGATTGAATCGTCTTCAGCGATTACAGCTTCAAGGGTGGAGAGCAAATTGTGATATTCAAATTGTTATAGATTATCATGCTTGTCTGGAATATCTTGTTAAGTATACATCAAAAGCTGAAAAAGCATCTTCTGTGGTCAAAAATGCTTTCACCAATGTTATTAACAAAATGAATGAAACTTCTGATACTCCTGGTGCCCTTAAGCAAGTTATGCTGAAAACTGTTGGTCAAAGAGACTACTCTATTCAAGAGGTCATGCATCATTTACTGTCAATAAAATTTGTAAATGCAACTAATGAGGTTATCACTGCATCACTTGACGGATCGAGAAGAGTCCAACTTGGAGCAAACCACCAAATTTGTACTGTTCCTTCAATAGTTGATATCTATGCTGAATGTCATAACTATCTCAAGGTAGATCCACAATTATTAGAGTACAATTTTTGTCAGTTTGCATCAAAACTTATTTTTAAAGGTTCAAAACTTCACCAAAGAGGTAGCCTGTTCCAGGCGTTCAGATAGTAGTATAGGGAACGGTGCGAACTAAAAAGGAGCGCGAAAAAATAAAAGTGAGGGAGGGGGAGAGGTGAGAGAGGGAACGCCTGTAAGATTTGTTTTAAATAGACTCTTCCGCCCAGTCAGACCTCATCAGCTGTAGGCGGTCTTCACTTGTCAATCAAGACTGGTGTTACAGCCCCATACATTTATTATTTTTCTTGCGAATAAATCAAAATTTCTAAGATCAAAAATTAATATTATGTATACATAATCTTACTAAAAACCTAATGTAAGACTTTCAGACAGTAGAGAGCTGGAGAAGTATTCATGTACCATGAATTTATTTACGGCTTTAAAACATGAGTTCGGCCTGTACGTGACAGAAAAATTATGATTCAAGTGACAAACAAATACCGCTCATTTCGATAGAAAGCCGTTTCAATACAGATCGTTAACTCAAGCAATGAAAATGCACAACAATTGAAGAGAAAATTTACCATTCGGTGATTGAGTGGACCTCGTCAATAGCGTGTTTTAAACAGTTTCTTTGCTCTTCGAGTTTAGCTTCCATGTGTTGAAAGCCACTCAGCGCTGTGTTTGTTGCGAGTTCGAATTCTGCGTGACGGGACGTAGAGTCTGTCATCACTGTCATATCACATTTCTCTCTGTGATTGAAGACGCTCCACTGTTGACAAAAACTGTCAAAATCAACCAATCAGAGGGTATACCGGGATCTAGTATACCGGAACGCACTTTTGTTAAAAATTCTTACAAGAGTTCCCGCACCTCTCTCCCCAGTCCCCCTCTACTTTTCATCGCTTTCTTTACTTCGCCCCACTCTCCACTATCTGAACGCTTGGAACAGGCTACCAAAGAGGAAAAACTGTAATTGTGAAAACCTACCCTAATTATTCATCCAATCCAAAAAATGAAGACTATGGTTTATTTTCTAAATATCAGTTGCTTAAATACAAACCCTGGCAATGTACACCAGATGATGCTTGGGATAACCTTGAACAATCTGAGGAGACATACACGGCATGTTGGAAACAATTCTTATCAACAGATACTGCAAAATCCTTAGTCGCTGACTGGGAAACCAAACTTCAAGCTGTAAACAGCTACATGTACATAACACCTTCAGACAATGATTCTCTTGAAGAAGATAACAATGCAGACAATGAAAGAAAGGAGTGGATGCTCATGGCAAAATTTAATGTTCAAACAAATGATTTTTATGAGCAATCCACACTTGTACACTTGCATATTGGATTGATTTAGGGTCATCAGAGAGAACTCTTGGAATTATATATGTTGCTTTAAGTAGGGTGAAAAAAATTCAAGATCTCGTTATTGAACCAGTGACACTAGAAAGATTGCAAGCCGTGAAAAAGTTGACTAATTTTAAGTTCCGATTAGAAGAAGAAAAGCGTCTTGATTTGTTAGCTAATGAAACACTTAAGTCACATTTTACAATGTCTTACAATACTTTTTTTGTACCTTTAGATACTATTTCAAAACAATTAAAACTAGTAATACACTCTTCACAAAATGTTTCTTTAGTTAGAGATCAAAATAAAAAGATTTTGATCTCCTGTTCCTGTAGTAACTGGTGGCAAATAATGTGAGCAAACCTTTCACGTTTTATCTTTTTTTTGGAGAACAGCAAATGCTTTGTGCTAAAAAATAAAACCTCAATAGTTAAAAATCCTATTGCTAGTGTATATATAGTTTACAGATAATTTTGGTATGTTGTTTTCAGATCTCCAACCAATTAAGTCATGTCAACAATAAAGTCAGACAACACAAACTCAGGTAAGTATATGTGGCTGTTGTTCTAAATAATTATTTTAAGGTTTTAACCCCAAACTTAATAAAACGGGAAGCATATTCCTGTTTTCTTCAGTGCACAGGCTATGGGAAGGTAACACGACAGTTACTGCAGAATTGAGTACTAAAAAATAGGAATTCTCACATTTCATTCAATTCATTACCTGAAGCAGCCCTTCATAATCTTCACACTAAAGCCTACTTAAGGTTTTTCTGACCATATTTGGTTTGATAAAGATGGAAAATTGTATTAACTTGTTGAACATTAATATTTCACATTTCGTATCTCATTTTAATTTTTATTTCCCCTTTCTTAGATAATCACCGTGGCTACATTCAGAATTTAAGCCCCATTAAACGCTCATGAAATCAAAATCAGTGGTTCGATTTTGACCTCCAAACCAGCCAATCCAAGTTGAGAAGAGTTGTGGGATTTAATCTTGCAAGCCACTCCACATTACAAGAACATGAGGCATCAAAAACAGCCGTAACCCTTCAAAACACTAAGGAAAATGACAATAATCAAATCATATTCAACCAACAATCAATGGTCAGGGTTGCGCCAACTTTTGACATTGATTTTGACTATCAGCCCATCTGTCAATCTCAAAAGACTGTACCCTCAGCTCAGCCTGCCAAAAAGATTACACTTGAAGAGCTCCCTACACTTCAAGGCAATCAGAAAGTGAACGTCACTGCTTCAATTTCACTGGGAAATGAAAAGGCTAAACCAGTTCAACTGAAAACATCAAAGGAGATGACATTAGTCAAGGAGAATTGTGTTCTAGAAGATGAAACTGGAACTGCAACTATTCATGTATGGGATCCACTTATTAACCAGATCAAAAGTGACACCACATATGTGATTGACAACCTTACTGTAAAACACTTCCAAGGAATCACCCATTTAGGAACAAGACGCACAACAACCTTTCAAGAGGCCGATCATCAGCTGAAAACTCTAAATGGCCCTGCATTACTCCAAAATCCTGAGAAAGAAGCAAAAGTACAGAGATTTAAGATGATAAACAAACTAAGTATTTATATTAACTGCCAAGCATGCAAACGAAAAATTAACGAAATGTCCCAACAGAAATCACTCAAATGTAAAAACTGTGGAGTACGACAGAGGCAAGCAGAGTGCAAGCGAGATGCATCTATGCAACTACTTGTACATTTGGATGACAAAGATGTGTGGTTAACAGCATTTACAGATGTTCTGGAGTCCCTATTCGCCACCCACTCAACTATCTCCTTACTAAGTGACTCAGATACCATTGAAGAACTGTTAATGGATATAACAGACATTGAGTTCACATACAATATGAACAGAAAAGTAATCACAAAAATATCATCATCTTCACTAATTACAGGTTAAACTGCTCTGGATAGTGTTCTTACTACAAACTTTACAAAGGATGATTTGATCAAAACATTCAGTTTCGTTCTTTATTGTCTTTCATCTCATTGTGGACCAAAATTAATAATAATATAATTACAATGTTCTTTTTCGTTGCGATTTTACAATAATTATCAACCATTTACACGTTCAAGTTATTAGTCGTGTTACTTGAAATATTATTAAACAGACAAATGCTTTAGTATGTTTCTGTTCAGAAAGATGTAAGTACATATGACCCCATTCTTTATGTGGAACAAGGCAATAACTGTCCTTATGCCTAAAAAAAGAAAACTTTCCCATCTTAATGGCAACCACCATTTTATAACAACCAAAAACGTTGTCTCCCAACCTTCCTGCAACAATCGCCTTACTTCATATATAGGACTACCCTTCACTACCCTGTGAGCAGAGTCTCCAGCACCTAATATGTGCAAATATGTGTTCTAAAAACGTTATGTAACACTTGTACAATTGACATTCAAATGTATTCAACATTTATCAATAAACGGTTCAGATTTTCAAAAAACAAATGTTTCTTACTGATACCTCCCTCTGCAAAGCTGATTTTATTCTTTCAAAAAGATACTTCATCACATTTCAAACTTTTATATAGCGCTTTGTAAAGCAACAGGAATATGAGAACCAAGTCTTCTCGCCAACCTTGATACATTCATGACACCTTTTCAAATAAATGATCCTTGAATTGGGAGGGGACCTGAGAAACTCTCAAATGCAAAATACGCATTTTTTTGCTCGTTGGCACTCTATCGATAGGTATGCCTAGTTATTATGTTAATTTAATCATTTCAAGGAAAAAATTTTGAATTTTGTCAATTCTAAAAGGATTATTTGATAGGCCATTTCCGAGTTCCCCGGGCCGCTCTTTCAAAACGAGGGTAGGTGCTCAGCCTTTGATATGGAAATCATTTTTCATTCTCATGCAAATAAAACTCATTTTCACAAGAAAGGTTGCGCACCAAGCCTCATTTTGAAAGTGAGGGTTTTTGGAACTACGACGTGGCCTATTGAAATGGAAAAGTTACAGTTTTGGATATAGAAAAAAGGAATACATTGTAAGGAGTCTCTTTTTTACTGTGAAAATATTTAATATACATATGTACATATTATATGAAAATGGAGAGAGAATTATTTTAATAAAAACTTTAATATCAAAAATGCACCTAAATATGACTCTGCTTGATTTGTGTGTATCAGCAAAAATGGGTCATTGTGGATGCATGAAACGGTCCAGGATTGCCTCACAAGCGTCCACTTTTTTATATACCCATGTTTAAGTAAAGTTAACACATTTAGGAAATCCAGTGAGTAATCCACCGAAAGTGGAATCTGGGGAAACATGAAGGCTGCAGAAAGTAAACCAATCAAACCGAGTTTCTGCATTCATTGTTGTGGGAACTCAATGGATAATTGAGTATCCTCTGAATTTATGAGCTGTGGAAAGATGACGGCAGTTAGCGTTTCCCGCAACGGTTAGTTACAATTCCGTCTGCGGATATTCAGGTTTCCATGAGGTAACCGTCACAAAAACGGTAACGGAAAGACCTTTTTTCAACCTTTGCGTATGAAAAGCTTAGTGTCATCAATGTTTGTGAAGGATGTCTCCTAAGCCAGAGGACGAACAAGTTAAAGGTTACAAAGATGGGATTATCAAATTTAGATCTAAAAGGAACTTTGACAAAGAAAAGTATAATAAGGACTTCTGTAATGCTCCATGGCATGTTAGGGAGACTTTGACACATTTGATGATAAAGCTGGGTTCTGGGGAGTACTCATGACTGGTATAGTGGATGAACACCTACCTGTAAAGAGGATGAGAGCGAACCCCAAGGTGTTCCTTATATGTCTCGTGAATGGAAAATTGCTATAAGAGCCAAAAGAAGAGCTGCCAGAAAATATCAAAAGCAACAAACAAGGGAAAATTGGGAAAACAAACGTAAAAGCAGGAATGAGGCAACCAGACTTGGGAGAAAAGCTGTTAGAGAATACTGGACAACTCAGTCATCTCTCCTTAAATCTAAACTCAGCCAGTTTTATAAAACATTTATGCCCTTCTTTAGCACAAAGAACAAGAAGACAGACAATGACCACCTCAGTTTAACAATTGATGGAGACGTTTGTCATGATCGACCCAAGATTGCAAATCATCTTTGTAATTACTTTGCCAATAATGCACATGGGGTAGGAAATATTGATGAAATAAGTGCACACGTGCAATTGTACAGAATATAATGAACAACTCAAATGGTACAGACAACTTCCACTTCTGGGTGTAAGGAGGGTTGAAGTTGAAGGGGCTCTGCAAAGCCTTAAATATCAAAAAAAGTGATGGCTGGGACAGGACTTGGTCCATGGCCCTAATAATTGGTGCTAGTGAGTGGTCGATACCGCTGACTATACTATATACTGTTATGCTTGTATCTCCAGCTGTGAATGCCTGCTATGTGGAAGAAGGCTGACTGGATCCCTGTCCTTCAGAAGAACAATCGTTGCGTACAGGAGAAGTATCGTTCGATATCTGTTCAAGTTACAGGAAATAAAGTTTTTGAACAAATGCTTAGTAAATAATTAAGCGCTAAAATTGAGAGCAGGTTTAATGATAATCTAACTGAACACAGGAAAAAAAATAGTTGTGAAACTGCCCTTCTGTCGTTAACTGAGAATTTGAAAAAGCTCTCTTGGGGTTCTATCAAATTACCTGATTAATGCTTTTGATTCCTTATATCAACCTCTCATGCTAGCTAAATTGAAAGCTTACGGTGTAAGTGACAATAGCGTCAAGTTACTTGACTCTTTTAGAGATCGACAGCATAGAGTCAAACTGGGAACAGTAGTAAGTGAACGTGAGATGGTGTTCAGGGGATGCCTTCTGAGGTCAGCATCAAGGCCACTCCTTTGGAACATCTATCAGAATGATCTTACATATGATATTGACGTTAAATTTAACGTGTATGCAGATGATCATCAGTTTTATTCTATGAGGAGCGACATGGAGATTGTTAATGCTAATCTAACATGTAGTCTAAAGTTGCTTAAGAGAAGTATACTTCTAACTTGCTTAAAGAAAATATGGATTAGTATAGAGTCCTGCTGCTTGGTAGCAAGCCAGGCAACAATATTAATATAGTAATCGATAATAAAGTTCTAGTACTACTGACTGCTTAAAATTACTTGGGGTACTGATAGACAGGCACCTTCGTTTTGATGATCACACAAGCGTAATCTATAAGAAAAGCACACAGCATGTAGGAGTCCTGATGCGACTAAGAAAATTGTTACCCAAGTTAAAGCTTTTAAAAGCTGCATTTCTTCCCTACTTAACTTATTCTCACCTTGTTTTGTACTTCTGTTGTGCCACTGAAAGTAGAAAATTGGAACGAGTATAGGAAATGGCACTCAGAGCTATTTAAAGTGACAGATCATCGAGTCATGAAAATGATCGAATATGGCTAACCTGTGTAACCTGCGTAACTGACAGTTACAAGATACAGCCGGTCATATGTACAAGGTTAAGAAAAATATTTCTCCCAGATACATTGCTGACCTTTTCCAGAGGACAGAAAAAATATCCACCGAGGAACAAAGACTTTTTAAACCTAACATATATACGATTACACATGGGAAACATTCTATTAGGTATATTGGCTCTAAGTTATGGAATGTACTGCCTACAAAGATCAGGGACCTTCCTACACTGTCTGTGTTCAAGAAGCATATTCTACAGCTTGACCTAAATTCCCTGCTCGCTGACACTCAGTACTCAAATTGCACTCTATGTAGTGCATAATGAACAAAGTACTATATTTACTACGCCTATATGCACTTGTGAAAATTTTGTTCTAATTTAACAATATTATACACATGTAGTAGTGTTATAAGTTTTACACTCGTTCTCTAGTCAATAATGACACACTTGTAAATAGTTTTATTAATACGATTTTAATTGCTACAATAGTTGCTTATTTTAAGTTATAGTGTCCCCATTTACTGATCCTCTACTGCTAAGTTAGTTTGACAGTTGAATAAAGGTACTGATTGATTGTTGTACTAAGTGTTCTCTAGTGCTGAACTTAAGTGCGGGGGTGTGATCAGTATGGTTCAAGTAATAAATAACAGAGCACACAGAACGTGTGCCTAGGAGAGAGCAATAAACTGATCAGTTGAACGCCACTCGACAATTAGCAGACAGTTCTGCAGAATACTATCTGACAGGCTTCGGCCTAGAGAGAGGACTATGGTGATCCACAGGAATAGAAGGGTGTGTGCTATCGTAAAGCTGCAACTGTCAAGGTGCACAATGGTTTACTGCAATGTTAGAGACGGCTATAATGTAGTTTGTGCACCCTTGAACTTATCATGGTTTCGAACTTGTAGTAGGTGCATACTCTTGAGCATCGTAGCTCTGGCTTGCAAAAAAAAGGGTCCAGTGCTTTAAAACCCATCCATTGGTAAATGGACTTCTGAGAAAGTAGGTTCTTCTTATTTTATTTTTAACATTCTTATGACTACAAAAGCGCAATTCATGGAGTTTTACAGCCCTTTTCGGGGTTACGTGTTTAGGAACTATTCCACATCTGTATTGACGTATTGACGTTCATTTCTTCGACACGCTTTGTAACCAGGCCTGCTGTAACTGGTCGCTGAGGTCGTAAACATGGCGGAACTCCCGACTTAGTTGAGGAGCAAAGGCCAGAAAAAATACAACATCGTAGCAACCCCACCACACAAAAGGTTTCACAACGGATTCCGATAGTCAAATACCCACTGATCACTTATTCAACATTCGGATCTACAAATTGTGGGGTCAGTGACTTGGTACGCTGCGATTTCTGAGGGGGGTGGGGGGTATTTTGAAGCATCGAAATTCACCATTTTCGCACAGGGTTAAAACTTTGAAAAATCATGTCTTTTTACTTAATCAGGCAAATGGGTTAGTATTTGGCCAACGCGTGTTAATCCGTAAGACCTACAATCTCAGATGTATTTTGTGCCTTTTTTGCGTTGCCATGGTAACGGTTTTATAAGGAAACTCTGTCTATGGGGTCTAACGTCAATAATAACGGATGTTTTGACTTCCACGAGAAATATACATTGCCGATGTACTTAGAATGTGCTTACAAGTGCTATTTACTAATTATCGAGAACCGTTTGTATAAGATTTTTTAACAAATTTGCAAATCAAACCTTTCCATTGTCTTGCAACGAGTCATGAAAGTTGTCATAATTGCCTGTAAACCCTATTTTCCTATTGTTACCAATTAAAACCTTTGAAAACTCATATCTTAAAGACTAAACATTGTTCAAGATGAAACTATGGACAGTCATGTAACTTTATAAGCTCTTTCATTTTAAGACATTTTCGCGAAATGATCCTCGTTTCCATGGCAACGGTTACAAGATTTGAGGAATGCTGAATGACTCCCTGAAACTTTTTTCTCATATGCCTAAAATGTAATACAGTATCAACACAGACAAGTCTTTATAGGTTTTTCTTTTTCGTGTGTGACTAGAAATGTTAATCACTGCAGAGTCTTTAGTAAAGATCTTGGATACAAATACATATTTTTTGAAACGGTAGTTATATTTGACGCTATTATTATCTCTGTGTCTTGAGAGGGTGTTTGCTTTCTTTCTTGAGTATTGTACCAAAAATTTAACACAAAATTATTGAAATACTTAATTTTTTAGTTGCTTAGATTTTGTGTAATTTGTAAAGGTCTTAAAGCTTTTACAATCAACTTTTATGCGTGTTATTTTTTCCGTTGAATTTTTAGTTGATTTCTTATCCATTCCCCCTTTTCATTCCCATGATGCCTTTGATGCATATCCCGAATTGCTTTGCGAGCAGCATCCGCCATTTTAACTGCGGGGTCGATTTAATCTTCAAAAGGTAAGAATTATTTGTTTTTTTGCTTCCATTTTGCTACTTTTAATCGCGTTTAACCTTATTTTTTATTGTGGACGTGCTAGGTGTAGGTTAAAAGATTTTTCATAGTTGATTAGTTGATTATTTTACTGAGCTCATGAACTACAGAAAGTTGTTCTTTACAATCTCTGTAAGTTCTTTGTGAACATCGAAAACAACAGTCCTTGTTTTTATAACCAATCCAATATAAACTGAACCATTGATCTTTAAAACATGTATTTCATAATAAATTGTAAAGCAAGTACCTTTTTTCAGATATACATATACTGTATATAGAGAAAATTTCCCGGTGTGTTTGCTTTAGTAACACTTGATAACCTTTTGCCGGTAAAATTGTGATACATAGTTTTCCTCCTTTAAAATATTAGATATGGCGGATTCTGAAGATGAGCCACAACAAGCCAAGAAGGCAAAAGTAGACAGGACTTCCAGGTCCACATATGAAAGTGTAGATTGGTCAATATGTATATTTTGCCAAAAAAAGAAGTACAAAGGCGTAAAAGAGCTGATAAGTGTTGCCAGCTTTGATTCTTGTCAAGCGATTGTAGATGCTGCCATTATATTGCTCGTGATGACCAGCGATTGCTTTTAAATGTCAAAGGCGTTGATTTGATAGCAAAAGAAGCAAAGCATCACGGAAAATGTTGAAGTAAATATGTCAGTAAGACAAACCTAAAATGTCTCAGTTACAAGGAAGACAATGAAGAGGAGGAGTGTGTGTATTCCGCAGCGTTTGCTATGTTAGTGGATGAAATTACTCCTGGAATATCTGAAGGAAAGATTTATGACATGAGCCATTTGCTAGACCGCTATAAACAGGTATTGGAAGTCAAAGGCATTTCTTGCAGCAATTATCGCAGTAAAGAGCTCAAAAGAAGAATGAGAGGCCATTTCTTAGACCAACTAGTCATCGAGAAGCAGAACCACCCTTCGAAGCCCGAATTAATATATTCCAGTCATTTGTCAGTTGCAGACATAGTAAAAACATCAGTCTCTCAGCAGTCCAGTGAAGATGTTGAAGTCGATGAGGACACGAGACAGGATATGGAACAGGATAAGGCTACCATTTTGTACCAAGCAGCCCAGATAATAAAGAATGACATCATACAGTGCAATGGTATTTCAATCAAGCCCTTGTGTGTAGACGAAGTGTCCATAGAGAAGGGCAGGTGTCTAATACCGGAAAGCCTTTACAGTTTTCTTTCAGAGGTTATCTCTAGGCAAGACAAAAAAGCCACTACCGTGTCGGATGGATCTACTCTTAGTGCTGAGAAAGGAAGACGCATAGTTATGCTAGGTCAGGATATAATTCATGCCGCGACCAATAGTCAGGTGAAAACACCGAAACACATAGATTTGGCAGTCACCATACATCAGTTAACAGGGTCTAAGGAAGTTGTGACTTTGTTAAACAGAATGGGGCACTGCTTTTCAAATGATGATGTTGAAATCGTAAACACAGCACGGCCAAGAGAGATGGAGGCAAGGAGCCAACAAACTGGAGTAGTCATTCCATCAAACATTACTGCTGGCCCATTTGTCAATTTGCTGCCGACAATAATGACTTCAACGAGGAAACTCTAGATGACAAACAAACCACACACACCACAACGCTAGTAGTGTGTCAGCATCAGCCTTTTGGACCCCAACTCCCACCGAAGATCCAGGCCGACCACTCCTCTAGAAGAAGATCTTTAGAGCAGCCAGTTCAGGGTCAACTCATGCACGACTGCAGTGTGCATGATAAGCGTCCTACCTTGACCTCATTCGTAGGAAGGGCAGAAGAGAACTTTGAATGTAGAGAAGATTTCACAACAACTCAGAATGTAAGAGAACTGGCATGGTTTCTGCTCAGGCTAAATAGAAAAAACGTATTGAAGGCCGATGATACCTATGGAGAGCAATCAGTTTCCAGATGGAGCGCATTCAATGCCGAAATGTCTTCCATCATGTTGCCTCGTACCATCATTGGGTATTGCCCGATGATTGCTGGATCGCCAACAGTCAGTACAGTACCATCTATACGGTACTTAAAACAGTGCAAGAAATGTCCAAACATCTCCAGCAGAGCACTGCAGTAATCACATTTGATCTGGCAAATTATTCCAAGGCAAAGGAAATTAACTGGCGTTATCCAGAAGAGTTCCAAAACCTGGTGATTCGCTTAGGGGGGTTTCACATTGCATTTAATTATTTGGCCTTGATCGGAAAGATGTTCCAGGAGAGTGGCTTAGAGAATGTGTTTATAGAGTCTGGCCTCTACGGATCGAGCTCTACTATGGCACTATTGCAGGGAAAATCGTACAACAGGGGAATTAGAGGACACAAATGGGACGCATTTTGCTCCAGGGTTAGTAAAAGAGGAGATGGGGAAGTCGAAAGCGAAGGAGGTGCGATTCTAAATCTCGTTGACACTGTCATCGAGCGCTACAGAACAACAACAGCTGAAGAGAAGAAAGAGGCCTAATTGCTGCTTTGTAACACCACCACCCGTGTTGAAAAACTTATTGACGCGGTTTAAACAAGAAACGTCATCGAAACTTTTCAAGTTTTGGGACAAGTACATCGAGATGATTCTCCTTCTCCTAGAGTTCATTCGAGCAGAACGAGAGGGTGACTGGGAGCTACATCTAAAGGTTACAACAAAGATGATTCCTTATTTTTTTGCAATGGATCGCTTCAACTACTCCCGGTGGCTGCCTGTTTATATTATGGATATGAGCAATCTGCAAGAAAAAGCTCTAGACGTCTACAACAAGTTCCTAAGAGGGAACCACACTGTCAGCAGGTCAACCTCACGGTCATTTAACCAAGTCTGGACGGACATGGCTCTCGAACAGAGCATTAACCTTGACAGTAAAACTAAAGGTGGCATAATCGGTATTACGCAAAGGCCAAGCCCTCTCTGGAAATGGTTTTTGACAGCACACGAGAAAACAGCAACCATGACTGCTACCAAAAGAATGATAGATTTGGATGAATCTACAAGAAGCACACACAAGGAATCATCAAAAGTCAGAGTTCAAAGAGACGAAAATGACATCAAGAAGGTCATACACACTCTGCAGACAGTGATGTCTAATCCGTTCGATGAAGATGCGTACAGAGAGGACGTTCCACTAATGAACCTTGCTACGGGAGTAGTTATGCTGGAGGAGATATCAGAGCAACTTATTGATGCTCAATATCTAGGAGCAGCAAAGATGAAGTTATTTGTAAGCAAGCGTATCAATACCAATTAACTTGGGTTTTGGGAACCGATGGAAAAGATGAACACAACTTTGTCAAAGAAAGCAAAGGTTAAGTCCGTGGATGAGAAGCTTGTAACAGTAAGCACGGACAGAAACTTGTTTGGGCGGCTTTTGATAGCTTCACGGTCAAGGAATATCGACTTGAGAGAAGTGTTAAAGTACGAGCTGGACTCTGTCCCTTGCGCACTGGCTCATCCTAATGGATCGTTTTGGAAAACTACTGAAAGTGTGTTCCTGGGGATACTCGAGGAACAAGTACAAGCGCTACCCAGACTACCAGTAGATGACAGAATGTGAACTGCGTATGTCATAGATGGCATGGCAGTGGTGCAAATGATGAGGAACGCAGGCTCGGCCACATTTGGAGAGCTCGCTAACAAGTACTTCCAGTTAATAACTGCTCATCTTTTGATCGCTATGACAAGGAAGACTCGATCAAGGAAGCAGAGCGTGTTCGAAGGGGATGAACGTCAACAACTTGTGATTTTTGTCGATCAGAATTAAGTAATTTAATCTTGAACAGAGTCGGTTGGATATTGTGTGAGTTATGAAACAACTTTGCTAGTGCCTGGATTGCTTTAATTCTAGATTGGTGTAGTATAATATTTACATGGCTATGGTCTGGAAGATAAATTAAACATATATTTCAACCGCGGATTAAAGAATGAAGATGTGAGTGATCATCACAATTCTTGGTTTTCACTGTCACGCCATCAAAACTAAAAATCGAACCATTCAATGGCTAAAGTTAAGAATCTAAGGGAGAAAAATGTGTTATTGAAAATTCTCGAAAACTTGTAAATGTTTAAATCAAGACTCACTGTGAAAAAAGTACTGCTTAGAAAGTGAAACTTCAAAAGATAAGTCATTTTTATCCTAAATGGCAGAGTGTTTGGGCCGCCATTTTGTTGTCACGTTACGCAAAAGCTTAGAAAGTCCAACGTACTCCATCACTAAATGAAAAACCCTAGAGAGCTTAAAATTTGTAAAAATTTACGTGTTGATCTGCTTTAAAATCTCAGCAAATTAAAAGTTTCGAAGAACTGTTAATTATTCACTTCAAATTTTGATTACTTCTCATGTTCGTGAGCACAAGTGTGAGCATGATAGTCGTGATCGCCCCAACGAGCACAATTGCCATGACAACAAATGACGCTTTTACTTACGCCGAAACGTGAAAAAATATGGCAGACGGTGATATTATAGAGAGAGAAGAAAATCCAAGTGAAATAATCGAAAGAGCAAAAAAATTCCTACAAAATGGCTGTGGTTGTTCCCGTGGCTCTAAAGGAGGTGCATGTTCTAGAGAATTCAAAGAAGAAGCGGTGTTATTTAATCTGAATAACTGTCTCGAGTTGAGAAGTGGACAGCTCGACTTAATTATTTTAGCAAACATTTAAGCCTTCAGCCGCAACAACTGCATTGGAAAGAAGTAGAAGTTCCAGGTGTACCTATCAGTTTCAATCCATTGTCATCTGCAAAGAAATCCTTATTCACCTTTATGGTATCGGTTATTCCTGACTTCGTTGACTCAAGGAGCATTACGAGAAATATGGTATCCATCCGCGAACTCACGGCAACACGAAAACGCTTCCCAGTAACACTCTTCATCAGTTGATCACCGAGAACGTTCACAGTTTCGTTACAAACTACGTAGAAGAGAATGTGTTTGTGCTACCTGGGAGAATACCTGGATTCAAGCGGGAAGATGTTCAGGTGCTGCCTTCGAGCGAGACAAAAGGGAGTGTTTGGCGCTTCTACACTGGAACTTGTCAAGCTTCTGGAGAGCAACTGTTAGTTAGAGCAAATTCGTAGACCTTTGGCATCAGTTTTGTTCGAAAGTTGTTGTGGCGAAACCCATGACCGATCTATGCTTCACTTGCCAGCAGAATACCACCAAGCTTGTACGGGCAGCAAACCTCCCTGACCATGAAAAGGCTGACTGTATAAAAGCACAGCAAGAGCATTCGGACTGCGCCCTAGGTCGAGAGAGAGTTTTACAAGAAAACTTGTTCACATACAGCTACGACTTTCGGTCACACAGTTGCAGAGACGAACTTTAACGAAATGCACGAACCGTGTTCATTCAGTGGCACTATGCACTATTCCTTTGACTATGCCCAACAAGTGCACTTTCCGAGTAACCCAATGCAACCCGGACTGATCTACTTTAAGACGTCAAGAAAGTGCGGGATTTTTGGAGTCATGTGAAGCTGTTCCGCGTCAAGTGAACTATTTAATTGACGGAGCTGCAGCAGTAGGTAAAGGAGCCAATGCAACCATAAGTTATGTTCACCACTTTTTCGAAAGTCATGGTCTCAGGGAAACAAACGTTCACTTACACGCTGGCAATTGTTCTGGACAAAGTAAAAACAATTACTTTTTATGGTATTTAGCATGGAGGATTGCTACTGAACTTCACCAGTCTATCAAGTACTCTTTCCTGATTGTTGGGCATACTAAATTTGGCCCGGATTGTTGTTTTGGAATTCTGAAAAAGTCCTACAAGCTCAGTTTCATTTCATCGATTTATGAACTAGCTCGAATGGTGGACACCTCAAGCAACACAGGCGTGAACAAGGCCCAACTAGTGTTGACGCATGATGGCCGTGTAATAGTACCTGTATACGACTGGTCTACTTTTCTTGGGCAATATTTCAGAAAAATCCCGAACATAAAAAAATTCCAGCACTTTAGATTTTTTAAGGATGAACCAGGTGTGGTTTACTGCCGAGAATATTTGTCATCTCCGGAACAAGTGTGTGTGCTACTGAAGGATGGTGCGGTCATCCCACCAGGTTCAGTTCTTCTGCAGAGGATCAACCCAGAACGATTAAGTGACGAACGCAGGAACTACTTATATCGCGAAATAAGACAGTTTTGTAAGCCTGCAACAGAAGATTTAGTTGCACCAGTGCCATGAGTTAATCATTGTTTCGAGCTTGATCAGCTGTTGCTCTTACTATGCACGTAATAAATTGGCTTTAGTATTTATGTTTTTTTCTTCCTATCAAATTGAATCCTACACTGTAAAAGAATTTATTCGAATTAATGATTCTTAGGTAATTATTATACATATATGTAATAAATGAAGTTCTGCTCAAAAATTATTTTAGGATTACCCCTTGTTGTTCTTCATACAATAGTTATATTGTTGTCCTCATGCAAGGTCGTACGAAACTGAGCGAAATTCGAATCTTGGTACGTCACAAAAAACCTTGCGTGTTCGGTTCCTGAACTCTTGATTAGTAAAATAAAGCTTTAGATGCCAAACCAAGACTGCTTTCTTTAATCGGGAAACAGAAAAAGCACTAATGAATAGTGACGTAATCAAGATTTTAAATTCAGAATTATTAATCCCTCTGAGCTTTCAGTTAAATGGTATGACGGATGTTTTCTGTTTTGGATAACACGCGACCTGGAAAACGTTATGTTGCTGTCTTCAAAACGTGAAAGCATTTGACAAGCTAGGATTGGATGCCAGGGTAACAGTTTGATTGAATTGACGTTGCAGAAAAACCGAAAATCCTAAAAGGTTTTGACATTGCAGGTCGCGTGTTAACCATCTGAACACTTGCCCTTTCATACGTTTTCAGTTCGAAAGGACTCTTTGTTATGTGATAGAACACATTTGAATTTTAAAGCCTTCGTGTCACACGACACTAAATGGCAGCGTAGAAAGGTGTCACACAGGCAAATATTACAGGCTTTTTAAAATAGCTCTATTTTCTCTTCAAAGTCCGTTGAGCGCGGGTGATGAGGGATTTGTTGACCGCCAGCTCAATGGGGTAGTTGCGCGCTCAAACAGAACGGAAACAATAAAACAACGCCTGGGTACAGGCTAGATTAGACGTAGCTATTGAGTTTTCTTCTCTCTAAGCATTCCTTGCATTATAATAAGTGCTGTTTTCAATAAATATGAGGTCTTGAGTGATGACTGTTCTCTCTCATAGTAAAACTCAATGACATAATGTTTCTGTTAGTTTCCATACAAAGCTCTATAAATCTGGGTAAAACATTTCTCAGAATATCTCACCTACGAAAAACCGCACTGACCTGAATTTTGGCGAGAATGTTCGCATATTTATCTTCTTTCATCTTCCAGATTCTTGATTTTATGTGTGTGATGGTTTCGACTTTTATTTTTGATTGCGTGACAGTGAGCACAAAGTTCGGAGTTTGAATTCAATGGCGAATATGCAATTTGCATGCTGTTCTTTGCTAAAATTTTCACCTGGGTTTTGTTTCCCAAAGCAGGTCACAGCGTCGTCAATGTTTTCAGCCCCTTCCAAATCGACCTGTCCATTGCATAGCGTAAGTGAGGATAGACTGAGGTTGTCGTAAACGACTGCTATCAGTGTCTTGGGAATGCTTTTTGTCAGTGAGCGTTTTATAATCATTATTAAAAGCGAGGAAGGAAGGGAAGTGACATCACAATTATCCCGAATCAAATCAGTGCGCGCTTGCTATTAATTTTTTATCTTCTTCCCTTCGTCAGGTTGGCTACAGAATAAGTAAGAAAGAACACCTTCTGGATAATTGTAACTCATCACAATCCCACCAAGTGATGACCTAAATTTCTGAGCTAAAAAAATTGTCATTGAAGAGAGCGTGATTTTATTCGATTTCACCAAATCCGAAACAAGATCAAGTACAGAACCACGGTCGCCACTCTCCTGTGAACGAATGGCTTCATCGGCTCTCGATGCAATACATTTTAACTTATTCAACCTTTTAGCCGTTTCTCCAAGGATACGACGATCACTCACTTTCTAAAAACAAGGATAAGCTAGAACTAAAAATACGTCAAAAATACTTTAGTTGTTCAGCAGTTCACGTTTCGGCGAGTATCGAGCGACCATGCTTCATAGTTCTGCTCGCAGTTCTAAACAGCTGCTTGCTTTCCTCTTAAATGGATAAGCAAACCGTTTAAACGTTTTCACAAATACA